TTTTTTTTTGCGTTCGACATAAGACAGAAATTCATACAGGTTTGGAACAACATGAGGGTGAGTAAATGAAAAAGAAAAACTATTTCTTTAACTCACAGCAAATGCAGAAATCAGCTCTGAGACACTAAAAACACTGGATCATGAGCTTCTCACATGTAAAAGAAAACAGTGCCACGCTTCACTCTGAAACATGCAGCAAAATAGAATATATGCTTATTAAATAAAAATGCACACTTCTGAAAGTCAGTCGACCCACACAAAATCTTGCACATTTAAATAATTTCTGCAGAATCCCACAGATTCTCCCTCAAAGAGGGAAACAGCTCTGCAGATAACTTCAAACATCTACATGACTTTGAATTAACTCAGCAAAAGTGGTCTGTTCTCTTTTTTGTCACCTTTGGATTGTTCTTTGGTGCTCTTCTCTTCCTGGATCTTTTCAGCAATGCTGACGTTACCGCAAGAGATTGCCATGAAGATTGTATTAGCAGCAAAGGAGAGCACCTGACCAGAGAGCTCACCTATACATAGAGAAGAGAGCAGCAAGAGTCAGAGGACATCAAGAACAGAGGCAAATCAAGTGAGAGCTGGAGCCTCAGCCTCTTTACCTTTCCCTGGAACAGCAGGTTTCTCCTGAGAACCCACTATTAGCAGTAACACCACCACCACAAACAAAGGCACACGCCACGACCCTGTCAGAGAAACTAGGAAAAAGAGAGGCTTTTTAGCATTCCTTCATTGACAGGATTGTAGGTCAATACTAAAACCCAAACAGAGCCATTCACCGGTTCAAAACAGAAAGGTCTTACCCAGGTAGAAAATAAGTGCTGCCCATACAGGCACAGCCAGTGTACGCAAGTAACCTTCCATGCCAGGTGTCCACTTAAACGCCACAGCCAACACGTAGCCCACAACTAAAGTGCCAACCTGAGAAAGAGAAAGACATCTCTGGTAACCACTGTGCCTGCAACCAAACATTTGCCACTGATCTATTTATAATCACAAAAACCCTCAGTATGTTCACAGTTCTCACAGGCACTGCGAGAGTGTTTTCAACACACACTTTAATTAAGTGGGTCAAAGGAATTGTTTTACCAAATAAAAAAGTCTGTCATAAATTGTCATAATTATCAAAAAAATTATATAGTATATAATTTTCTCCTTCCTGTTCTTTTAAAATAGAGCCAGTTTCACTGCCAGCTTCTTGAATAAATCAGCACCTTAAATTTTTCTTGTTATTAGGTGATCACAAGGTTCTGCTGGATGGGGATTTTGGGGCCAATAACAATTTAGACTAATAATAGACATCACATGGCATGTAAGAATTAAATTAAGCACTAGAGAGAACTAAAACAAAATCAGATACTGAGGTAATTAAATTGAATGTCAGGGTTTAGTCCTTTAGAGTTCTTGTAACCTTTAGAAGAACTTAAAATATGTCTTATGATCTATCATCTGGCCTGTGTGTGTAGCCTAAGGGACATATTTTTAGCATCTTGGGATGTCATGCTCCAATTCCCATTCATATACTGAACATGAGTTCTAGATATGTAGATACTTCACATGGACAGTTGTGTTCATGAATAGTTTTCTATACAAACATATTTGCACATGGTTAGGTTGTCCAAAGCCAGATGTGGTAATACAGAGGTTGACAGATTTGCAATGTAAATATATGATTCTCTAATGGATGAAAGAGAGACAGAATGTGACAACCCATGATAGTGCTCGACACTGACATAAAATTATTTAGCTTTAAACACTATAAGATATATGTGACCCTGGACCACAAAACCAGTCATAATGGTCAATTTTTTGATATTGTAAATATATAAGCTTTCCATTGATGTATGGTTTGTTAGGATAGGACAATATTTGGCCGAGATATACGACTATTTGAAAATCTGGAATAACACAGGCTTGAGGGTGCAAAAAAATCCAAATACTGAGAAAATCGCCTTTAAAGTCGTCCAAAATAAAGTTATTCGCAATGCATATTACTAATCAGAAATTAAGTTTTGATATATTTATGGTAGGAAATTTACAAAATATATTCATGGAGCATGATCTTTACTTAATATCCTAATGATTTTTTGCATAAAAGAAAAATTGATAATTTTGACCCATACACTGTATTGTTCACTATTGCTACAAATATACCCTTGTTTTGTGGTCCAGTGGGTCACATATATGACACTATATATTATAATACCAAACTTTGTTGCAAAATGTAAGTTTCAAACAATTATGAATGTTATAAAAGCATCATTACTAAATGTACATAAATTCATGAATTATTCTGTTATCCAAGTAGGAATGAAGTTCTAAGTCCCTGTCCCACAAGTTACCACTCTACCACCTGTGCATTGTCTGACAGGAGGCGTTGTCTCTGTCCCATTCACAGACAGAACTCACCCACGCCGCGCTGAAACAATCCAGGCCGAGACAGATGACCGTACAGACGTGACTGAGGATCACCTGCATGCCAATGACGCTCCAGAACAGATATAGGAAATAAAGCAGGGGTACACCGGCCCCAACTGCCAGCAGTACATTGAGCCGATCTACGACCAGTCCTCCCAGAGTTTCCACCCCGTAGTTTACGCACCACACCGGCACCAACAGAGTCCCAACCACTATCGGTGTGCCGCTGTCTTGCAGGCTGCTGAGCCAGGAGCGGCCGAGGCGGGCGAGCGAGTATTTGAAGGGGTGCAGGAAAGTGCCGCACAGCACTGCCCAAAGCAGCGGCCGCAGAAAAGCCTCCAGGATGAAGTAGACCAACACCGCTGCTCCGCAACAGATCGCCACGAAGATCATCGCTCCCGTGTTGTAGAAGGCCTGTTTGATGTTTTTGTCGAATTTCAGGGACGTCTGCTGGCTCAGTAGGTGGCTCACCATCCCGACTGCTGGCTGAACGGTCTCGCTGAACGAGACGTAGTGTGGCCAGCTGGTGCGCGGGGTGTCCGGCTTGGTGGCCTCGCCTGGACCAGGGTCCTCTGTGTCTGCCATGCTCGCTGGCGTCGCTGCGCTTCAGTCCGGAGGATCCACCACATAAGGAACTGCGGGCTGGGCAAAGAGTGACGTGGCGTGTTGGATGAAGTCTGGGAAATGTAGTCAAGTTACAACACTTGTATTTCTGAACGAATGTTTAATTCATAAAAAAAAAAAAATGTAGTCAAGTTACTGTGTTTTACAGCCTACCACCACCCTTGTATGTTTTTTTTTTAATGTAGGTGCTGGTGGTTCGTTATCTTTTTAAGGGATAGTTCACCCAAAATTAGAATTATCAACATTTACTCGCCATCATGCGGTTCCCTATAATACAGTAGAAGTCTACGGTAACCAAAACATCTACTATAATACAATGGTTAACAGCGCTCTTCAAAAAATGTTCTTTTGTGTTAAGAAAAAGAAAGTAAGCCAAACAGGTTTGGAACTGCATTTAAATTATGTGAATAGTATCAGTTTGTAGTTTGAAAAGTCACAAAATGGAGTGAAAATGCTGAAAAAATAATACTCTGTGATAATCTGATTATAAAGGATATTAAGTATGGATTCAAAATAATATACTAGAATACAACTATTTCTTTAATGAATCGTTTGCGTGAATGAGTGAGTGACTCGCTCGTAGCACAACAAAAAAGACAGTCACTTATCGCCATCTACTGGCGTAACAATCTAAACTAGAGAAAAGATGACTGGATGAATTTGTGAACAAATATTTTATTGATTTTATTTACTACTATTCTTCAGGGTGCCATGTCATGACAAGTACATCAAGTTCAGACCCCGGCAAAACGTTCTCAGTTTATCCAGACAAATATGACAACGGTACACATTTTCAGCTGTCTTTCATAGCTTTATTAAAAAGTGCAGTACGTGTTGTGTTCAGGACCATCAAACAGGTATCTTTTTTCCAATTAGAGCAAGAATTCACAGTAAACTTGTCAGAATGTATGTAAGCTGCTAATGATGTAGGAGATTGTATGACAAATGTTTAAAATCCCAATGGTTCACAGTCCTTCACTATGCACACTCATTATTGCATATTCTCTAACACTGTCAATGTCAAAATTTCAGAAGTATATTAAAATATAACAAACATATTGTTCCTTGACCACTGGCATATAATGTCTCCATTCATGCTACATAACATGATTATCTCTGGCCGGCACACATCAAAAACGAATCGCATCACTCCTCCAAGTACATTTCCTCATTTACCTTAAGGTGAATATAACAACGTATTTAAAACTAAATACCTTTCTAAACATCTTTACGTGTTGCTCTTCAGTCTGCTATACAAATGTTATTACAGAACATTTTCAAAGGACGCCAAATAATTAACAGAAAACAATCACACACTAACTGGTGTGATCCAATTCCTTCTACACAGGCAGCAATCAGTTCTTGGACTATTTGTATGTTTTACAATAGCATGAAGTCCTTGGTATAGAAAGTCTTCAATTCACTAAAATGAAAACCAGATGATTCTCTCCTGGACTGGTTCTGTTCCTGATCTAAATGGCTCAGATGAGGCTGGTTTGCTGGCATGCATCATCAAATACTGAGCTGGCAATGCTGGCTAACTGGAAGGCAGTGATGTTTTATGAATTCTTTGCATGTGTGTTTGTGCTGTAGGGCAAATTATGTACTGCTGTTAGTTGCGTAGTCAGTCACACAGGCATTCATTAATTTACATCACTCTGAAATCCACAGCCTTAATAAATGTTAATCAGAACTGTAATATACTAGAAAACACTGGATAGCAGGCAACTACAAACAGCAGAGCACCTCTACTGAGATTTGGCTAAACATATTCCATTCAATAGAACGAGGCAATTCACTTCTCCGTAGAGTTCTGTAGTGGGACATTATGTGTCATGATATGTGCCACTGTAGAGATACTGTCACACTTATCATTGTTCAGCAAGTTTTTGTTGGTAAAATTCAGTCATTTCAATAGGAATCATTGTTTTGGAATTTCACGTGAGGGTGAAAGATTTCCCCATACAGATTTTGGATTCACAGCTTTGACCAACAGAAAGCTGATGGTCTGACAATGATATACAATGGACTTTCTTGAACGCAACATTTTACTGAACGTTCACTAATGTGACTGCACTTTAAGTATACTGAATATTAACATTAATTTGGCTCAGATTGTTTCAACTATTGTAGGCTATACCTACCATAACATACCACTTGAGGTTTCTCTACTCTTTCATCAAAATAAAATATATTGTAATATATAATAAGTGTATGGTTGACCTCTAAATGAGAATCATTGCTTGTATATAACTGAATATTAATCCACAGTCCAAATACCTTTCTAGTGTACGTAGATTGAGGATATTATAGAATTACAATTTATTGCTGCCTGTTTCTAATACTGTTAAGTTGGCACGCAGTCATGCTATGGTGGCTCCATAGTTTGTTGTATTCATTTCTTCTCTCAGTGACATGGCTTCGCTGGTTATGGTGTGCCCATCAGTAGGTAGAAGGTAAGAGCAACGATGAGGAGGAGGCAAAAGGGAGAGGAGAATGTCTGATAGGCTGTGGCGGGCATGAAAATGTCCTCATATTTATAGATGCTAATCATGCGATCTGACACCGGTGGGGAGTCGATGTCATGCCTTGTGATGGAACCTGAGAAGAACAACAGAAGAACAAGATCCTCATAAATAGGGCAATATTACATTTGTAGCCCTAAACGAATAGTTTAAAATGAAAATTTGCTGGCACTTCACTCAATCCAAGACGTAGATGTAGATTTGGAGAATTTTTTTATTACATAATTTCATACAGCATTACATTAACTTGCTCACAAGTGAATCCTCTGCAGTGAATTGGTGCCATCAGTTCAAACAGCTGACAAAAGCATCACAATAATCCACATGACTCCAGTCCATCAATTAATGTCTTGTGAAGTGAAAACTGCATGTTTATAAGCAACAAATCCATCATTAAGGAATTTATCTTTTAACCATCACTTCTGGCCAAAATACCAGTTATATAACCAGTTAATACCAGTTAATAACGCTCCTCCAATGAGAAAAGTCTGTCCTCTGTTGTCCTCTCACATCAAAATCCACTGAATATTTGTTTAGAACTGTTTTGGACTTTTTTGCTTGTAAAATGTGTGTATATTTCTCTCATAATTCAGACTTTTTCACTGGAGTAAGCAATATTACGGATAGATGACTCTTATTTTAGCCAGAAGCAATAGTTTAAAGTTAAAAACATCTTAATGATGGATTTGTTTATTAGAAAAACACACAAGACATTACTTGATGGAGTAAAGTCATGTTATATGTTATTGTGATGTTGTTATCAGCTGTTTAGACTCTAATTCTGAAAACACCTATCATTGGATCCATTAATAAGCAAGTGATGTAATGCTAAATTTCTCCAACTCTGTTATGATGAGTAAATTTTCAGCAAATGTTCATTTTTGTATAAACTACTCTTTTAAAACCAGGCTGTATGTCTTTACCTTGAATGGCAGGTCCCCAAGCGAACAGATAGTACCAGCTGAGGTGCAGGTCCACCAGCGTCTCCTCCCGTGGCACGTGAAGAGGCCGTTTGAAGCGGCACGTGACGCGGTTGTTTTCAAAGATGCCCTCCTCATCCCGCGCCGGGTTGCGCTTGATCTCTTTGGCCCACTGGCCCACGTTGTAGAAATGATGTATCCGTACACGTCCGTTATCGTCATGAACACAGCCCATGACATCATCACCTCCCTACAACAACAATATCATTGTGTATTTCTTAGCAGGCATTCACACCAAATATATATATGTAATCCCTCTCTCCTTACCATTTTTTTGTCAGAGGAGAAACCGACAGCAACCCATCCATCAGTGTCTGCACTCATCTCGAATTCCACATCTGTGCCAATGCGTCTGAAACTCAGGAAGTAGTCACAGGTCTCTGCGTCACAGCCTGGTTTGCCATATCTACAGCAACAGAAGAGAGACAAAGTGATGACTTTTTATTTTTGGGTGAACTTACCCCTGTATGAACAATCATCAACACAGACCTACAAAGATCCATGATGTGCATGTCTATTTTATGTATATATTATGAGTGTACCAGACAGCATGGCAGACTGCAGCTTGATTCTGCATTACGGCATGCAACACACAGTTTGATGCCACAATAACCCATTGTTTATAAATTAAATTGAACCTTTATTCCATGCACTCACCTGATGCATCCTTTGGTTATTCCACAGTCGCTAACTTTGATGCGGGCAAATGGGTCTACAGGGGGTGCAGCTGGGAAGGGGTAACCTATTTGAGACATTAGACAACAACACATTAATCAACTGGTTTCAGCTAGTCCTACTACTTAAATAATAATTAATGATGTCATATATTTGTGTTACATTTGAATTTTACTTAATACATTGTAATGCAGGAGGGGCAACTTAACCTTAGCTTTGGGTAAAGTTTTCGTAATATAGTATGTTGTGTAATACTTTTTTTCAGACACAAACACACACATACACACACAATGGTAATAAACAATAATTTACACTGTCTTGCATTTTATATTATTATATGACATGACATACACTACTGTTCAAAGGTTTGGGATCAGTAAGGTTTTTTTAATCAAAAGTGGCAATAAATACATTTACAATGTTACAAACGATTTCAATTTCAATAAATGCTGTTCTTTTGACATTTCTATTCATCAAAGAATCCTGGAAAAAAAGTGTTCACGGTTTTCACGAAAATATTGAGCTATTTTCAGCATTGATAATAATAAGAAATGTTTCTTGAGCACCAAATCAGTGTATTTGAATTATTTCTGAAGGATCATGTGACGCTAAAGACTGGACAAAAACATTAAAATCTTACCAACCCCAAACCTTTGAATGGTAGTGTATTTTCTATTGTTTTGTACATTATACATGATACTGTATATTCACACATTTGTACTTTTAAGAACTATCCAAACATGTGTTACACAGCTGTACCTACAACACTCGGCCAGTCATGTGGCAATAAGAGTTTCTATTCTATTCTATTCTGTTTGATGTGTTGCGACTTTATGAATCACTGTCTGAGTATCTGCAGTTTATTAAAAAAGTAGATTACAAAATAGGGGGGTTGGAAAAGCCTGTGGGTAATTGGTCTGGAATGGATGCGAGTTTCACAGGCTTTTGGGGTGCTGACCAAGGTGCTGATGTTGTACCATATGAATGCAAATGATTATATTAGTGAATCAAAACCAATCTCTTATAAAAGTATTGCTAATAATTATCACTAACAGACAACACTATTAACCTAATTAATAGGCCTGTGGTCGAGGGAGGGCATCAGACGGTGACCATTCACTGCATGTATTCAGTGCTCCTAAGAACTGCACTCATGTATACTGAGTGAGAAACAACACAAAACCAGCATTCATGACTTGAAATTAAGCGCAATCGTTTTATTCCATCGTACCTTCGTCTGAGAGGTATCTGGACTCGAGGAACTCGGAGGCGAATGTACTGTAGGAATCCTTATGGGGTTCTTCATGCCCCGGCTCTCCGTGTTCTCCATGACCGGCCCGCAGCACATTATCATCGGTAGGGCTGGCAGAAACCGCATCCAGCAGAACAGAGATCTGCAGCAGCGGATGCAAAAGAAACATGACTGGATGCGTTGGACCTAATGATACGATAATTGTTATTGTACGCGCGAAGAGACTCGGGTCTTATTTACTAGTCGTCGCATTCCAGTACTGATGCTTAGATTGATAACAAATAATAAAATGTAGCTAATTAAATCGCCTTCATGATAAAACGTTTCGGTTGGTCCGCGGGGGAGGGGGGTGCTGCGAGGCGAGAGGCGAGAGGCTCGGGTGCAGTTAATGAATAGGGCCAAACCAATCCGTTTATGGTGAGATTTGTAACCGATAGTGATGTTGCTTGATAATGACACGACGCTCAGTGATAGTATCAGTATACACTATTTAGCAATAGTATGTCTTTCTCTATTATTACATTATTGTACATTTTCTGAATCATTAGGACCATCGCACACTGATTTGACACATTATGTCTCCCCTCTCTGGTCGTGTTTTCTTCGCCTTGCACGTCAATTGACAGAGATTGCCAGTATTGCGTTCCAATAGCATCGCACTACGTGTGGAAATCAATTGTCTCAGACACACTGTATAAAATGTAAATGTTTAAAGGGAAAAGAATGTAAAAACAGTAAAACATTCTAATTGGTAAATGTAAGTTCTAAACGTTTTAACATATGTTAGAGTTTTAAAGACATAAACAGGCCTGATTCTACTGTAAAATATCGTAAAATGGTTTTCTAGTAAAATATATGAATAAACTTATCATTCACAGTTTAAAAGGGTACTTTTAACAAGGCAATAATTACATTTATACGATAAAATATTGTTACAGTGTGGTTTTATGAAGTAAGAATCACCTTATAATTAATGTCAAATTAAGGGTTATTTACAGAATTATTTCCAAAAAAAAAAAAAAAAGTCAAATCTTATTTTAGTTCTCAGTTATGTTGTTTAGTTAATGTTTATATGATTTTTAGTGTCTTTATTTATTTGTTTATTTATTGTGGGGGATGATTTTTAACAATTTTGGTAACGTTTTTTATTTTGTTATTGGTCAGTTGCTGTGGAGCCAATTTAAATGAATTAAACGTCATCATGTGACTTTTCTTTGTACCACCAGATATATTATTATACATTTTACAGTAAAAAACAGATTGTAGTAGGTTTTTTATGACATAGGCCTAGGCCTATAGGTACTAACATAAATAGCCCTTTAATTTTCTTGGAACATTGTGATTGAATTTATTTTATGGAAAAATTCTGGTAACCCATTCTTAGATTTAAGTTTTTAAATCTACAATAGCAGTTTTTTTTTTAAATGTAACCTTTTTAAACCAAAAGCGTTTGTGCTTTTCACAGTGACAGTGGGGGAGAATGTAAACCTCACATGAACCACAAGATGGCAGTGTTTAATTTCTAAACAGAAAAGATGTGGCGAAGGCTTCATATGATGTGGTTAATATACTTCACCATGAATCTACAACTTTTGAAGTTTGAAGAAATATGGGGAATTATGATGCTTATACAATATTGAAACTATTCACTATAGTGTATATTTAAGTTGTCCTTTTAATTTTGGTCACACTGAAACAGATTTGCTTGTATTCCCCTATAAAATTTGCACCATTCGTTCCTTCTCATGTTATAACAACCCCCTCTGTCACATGACACTTACAATTTTCAGGAATTACTTTTTCATATGGTGGAATGTGATTCAAGATTATCATTAAAGACACCAAAATCAGTAGCAATTTGCCACCAAGTACAACTGCAACAACCACACTAACAGAAAACAATAAACTGATGTCTCAGTAGTGCTGATCCTTCACGTTAAATCGACGAGCTATTTGTTCTTGGAAAGAGAATGTCTAAAATGAAGACCACATGGAGGGAGATCACAAGGCTTGTTGAGTTACAAAACAGAGTAAAGATCAAGGATAGAGCCATGGATTTAAAACAAAACAAAACAAAACAGAATGGATCATCCAAAACAGAAGCTCTGGAAACTGTTAAACAAAAGCTAATACTAGCCAGAGACACAGCTCAGACACTAACTACATGCTCTCTTCTCTAAAGAGCCATCGAGAAGGTGCTCACAGCTGCAGTACATAAGCGACCACAAACAGATACATGAAGAGCTAAAAATGAATCATACTGGGAAAATTATGGGAAAGAAACTAAAAACAGAAGAGCAGTTCTCACTACCTAAAGACCTTAGAAAAATTTGTGATATTTCAGAAAACAAATACATCCAAAAAGCAGTCAGGTTACATCAACAAAGGTCATTTTTATGGGTTAGAACAAGTAATAGATCCATAGGTTAACAATTGCTCATGTGTGATTCTTCATAGTCTAAAAATATAATATAATATAATATAATATAATATAATATAATTACTATTAAGAATAAGACGGCCAGTATTATTAGAGGTATTTACAGTATACTCACATATCCATTCCTCACATTCACATTGTGCAGTTACAGATGCCAAGTGGCACTAGCCACAATTTACAGCTTAAAATACAACCCTGCAAGGTGTCCACTTAAATGCAGGCACCTCTAAATCAATCTCTCCGATTTTCTCAGGATACGGCCAATTACCCACTGCTTAGCAGAACTATTAAAGTCTACCTAAACCGACATCAGCTTTAATAGCCCTATCCCATCAGCACGCATTTACACACCGATATAGATGTGCTCTCATACACACATACTGTGTCTTAAAGTTATAAGATTCCATCCTCCCCCATTGGCCACGCCACCATCCCCCCTCCTGCCATCACACAGGCATGATCACTCTGTGTCTAATAGCCTTACCCAATTACGGCCACAGTGCTAGAGGAGAAAGGATGATGAGATCCCCTAACATGTTAATGAAGAACCTACGGCATACCTGCCTTATCTTAATAACCTAAAACACACACATACACTCTCACACTCACACACACAGAGCAATCAGCCAAATGTCAATTGTGTGTCTCCTGGGTATGTGTGAGAGCGTGTGATTGACACAGAGACAATGGCCGCAGGTCCCATTCATAAACGCAGAAGGGAGGCGAACTGATGGAGGGAAAGGAAGAGAGAAAGACACGGAGGTAGAGAGACAAGTATTCTAATGTTTCAATGGAACCTGCTTGACCACAGAGTTTTAAAACCAAAAAGGTATCTGCAAACTAACATAATATTAATTTGAAATTTTCAAGAAAGACTATTTTTAAGGCATGTTGTGCATTTTAACATACACAAACTAAATTTCAACATGCAGTGCTGATAGCAAAGGATGTCTGATTTTCACTTGTTAATGAACATATTCAAAAAGACTAACATTAACAGGTAAAAAACAGGTGTTTGAAAAAACAGGTAAAAAACAGGTGTTTGTCTACTTTAAAAAAAGTGATGGCAAAAAATTTGCGTGGCTTTAAAATTTGAATTCATTTACATAATTATTCAATGTAAATGTCACTAAAATGTCAAGCTGCCAACATAAAATCATTCATGTCATCATTCAAGATAAAGTATTTAAGGTATCAAAATTAATTCTATGCAGAAAGTTCCCTTTGTTTGAACGGTTTTAACTTCTATATTATGTGTACATCAGAATACATGTCAAGGAGAGCGAAATGCTTGCAATTAAGTCGAGATGCAATGGAAGTATCTTTTCTTCTCTTTTGCGATGTACATCCAATTGAACAGGATTATCATAAAGGACAAAACTTGACTTGGTTGACTTGGACTTATTTCAGTTGTTAAGGAGGCAGATCTGAATGGAACCTTGCACTTGATAATAAGAAAAAGGCACAATTTTATAAATGTACACATTTTGTAAATGACTAAAGAAGTCTGGCCGGCATACGTTGACCAAAGAGAAGATTTTTCTAAGTAATGTAGAAAATAGTGAATTTTCATTACTTGCCAACTTTAAACTACTGACATCGTTATGAGGCCAAAAACAATAGCCTATAAATGTTAAGAAAAATAAATGTTAAAAAAAAAAAACTGAATAGGAAAAAAAAGGTAAAACAAAGTAACCATAATTATTTGTGCTGCAGTGCATTGCTGGAAGAGGTAGGTTTCTGTGTGCAGTAAAAAAAAAAAAAATGCATCAGCCCTCATCAGATCACTTGCTGTGCTTGTTGGTTCAACTTAAAAAAAACTTTTAAAAATAATTTTGCTGTTAAAAAACTGCATAAAGACGCATTACGTGATCATAAAAGTTGCAAGCTTTTCAGAGTAGTAAACAAACAAACAAAAAATCAATCAAGTAAATTATTATTATTGCTTTTAAAGGAGAGCGTGTTCAACCCCTAATGTCCCGCATACTCAAGGAAACATGCAAAGTTTACAATAAACCAGATTCACATCCCACAATGTGAATGCCTGCTGAACTGTGTTAATCCAGGCCACAGTTTCACCTCCAGGGCTTTCTTTTATTCCCACATTATATATATTTTACAGATACTATTTGAGTGCGAACACACACCCTGAAACACTTCATGGTTATTGACAGAAAGAAAAAGGGCCCTATTGTTCCTGAGAGAGCTTGTGTGTGAGGCTTCATCTTAACCTGTCAACAGTCCTTATGTACTGTCAGCAGAGCAAGCACTGGTGACATACCCATCACTCTTTCCCTAGCTTTGAGTCTAGTACACTGAACAGACACGCACACATCCAGAAGGATCGATAGGCTTCTGTGTTGCCCACTGAAGACGGGACTGTCTGCCGCGGCCTAATCTCCGCGTCCCCGGGAGCACATTATGGGCACGTGCCGGGTGTTAACCCATTAATCTGGCGATGGTCGGATGCGTTATGTTCCCTCTCCCACGGGACTGAGTTGTGCTGATAGATTGAGCTCTATGTGTGTGCGCACACAGCAAAGAGTGATCTTCAATTCTTAGTTTGAGCAAATAGAGATCGAGGGCGAGCACTGTGAGCTTTCCGTTTCTCTCTTTGTGTCTCTGGCGCTCATTTGGAGTCTGGTCACAGATATCTATGCTTTGTCTGACTGCCGCTTGATTGCCATTTGATCCTCGAGCGAACGCGGCGTTTCTCTTGCAAGCTCATCCCGTCAATCTGTTTGCTTTGCGCTATTTGTTTCCGCGGTTATACAGGTGTAGCTACTCAGCTAATCTGATTGGTTTGACAGAGGCTGTTAGAACACAAACAGCCGCGTGTTCCAATCAATAGCGTCATTAAACGTGAATTAGCGCTAACTCAATCAAACTACCCAGTTTAGCACC